GTAAATAAGTAAATGCTTAATATATTTACTGAGAAATGTTCCTGAATTTCACAAATCAGTTACCCTTAGGGATACATCACAGAGGTATGCATAATCAAATTTAGTCACAAAATACACTTCTGAATCAGTTTGTTTGCTATTCCATAATACTGCAGTATAACAGAGACTAAACAGAACTTGAGTAAATCCTTTCGTGAGTAAATCTTTTCAAGTTGATCAGAGACAAAACGGTATGAAAATAACAAGCCATGCATGGCACAGTCCAAATTTAAGATACATGTATATACATGTAGTTTTGTTCATAGTAATATACTTGGAACATAACCATGTCAGAAGTATGGATCCAGAAGATGATGCTTGATTATGATGATTTTTTAACATTAAAATGATTGACAGCTTGTATCTGATGGTCAAAAGAGTACTTGTCCATATTGAGAAATATTGCTCTGGAACAGCATTAATTGAAACAAAATGGCCACCAGTCGGCCATTTTGAATACATCTATATATCTATACCGGTAACATGATGTAAAATGAATATATAAAATGTGAACACAATCAGTCAAAGCATATCAGAGATATGGTTCTAGAAGTGCATTCATTTAAACAAAATGACCTCCAGTCAGCCATTTAAATCTGATCTAAAAATAAAATGTGCATCAAGGTCCCATAATGTCCAACGTTCGTACCAGGTTTGAACAAAATTCATCCATAAACGCCAAGATCTAGTACTGAAATGCCAAAAATGCTTGATTTTTGATGATTTTTTAGCACAAAAATTGCTGCCATATGGCTACTTTGAATCAGATAGTCAAACCAATATATCTATGTCACGATGAATACTGTAAAATGGTTAATTATTCACTGTGTTTTAATTTGGCTTATTTCGCTGACTGGAAAATGTGCTAAATTAAAATCCAGTGAATATGTAAAATTTAGCATAGAACACTATATCTAAATGATAAAACCGTGAATTTAAAACCCACTGAATATGCCTGAAATGGTAAATCAGTGAAATTTAAACCCAGTGAAAATTAGTCATTTTACAGTATATACAATTTTATCATAATCAGTCAAAGCATGGCAGAAATATGGCACTAGAACTGCAAAATATGTGAAGTTTGATTGTGATTGGTCCGGACACACAAAGGTCAAAATATAAGTCACCATTTTCGGGACTAATAAACCATTGCCAATTATATTGAGCTGACATTGGATACCTGTCATTGCAAAATGACATCTATCATTACGACATCAGTCATAAAATGTATTGGTTTGATTCACACCTTATATTGGTTTATAAAGTGTATCTATCTTATACAAGTGTTTTCCTATATAAAAATGGATAGCTTATTAACTCATCAGTAAGTAGTCCAAAACTAACAAGTCATTGTCAATTACACAGTCCATGTTGCAATTAGATGAGGATAAAAGCAAGTCAATGATCACAAATTGAATTGTAATGGACATGTATTGCTATATGAATAACACATGAGCTCCAAGTGCTAAAAAAAAATATAAAGCTTGGCAATCATAGTACTGAACTTAAGCTCTATAGGATGAAAACAAATAATCAGGCTTGGCATATCATACGAGACTATAATTAAATCAAGGCAATCTTGAAATAAAACTTGGAATTCATACAAGAACACATATACAATTATCTTAATGATGGGGTAAAAATACACTGGATTCACAGCATTTTTTCATATGAACAACAAGATCTCAAAAACTAAAGAACAATGATTGTCTGCTTTATACAAGACACTATCAAACTACTACAAAATCAAAACTAGTCCTTTTAATATTGAGTGATATGGTATTGTAGACCCAATCAGAATACAATGTATATTTTATTATTTAGTTGTTTTTGCTTCACACACACAGAAGCTAAAAAAATTAATGAGTTAGGGAAGGGTTACATTTGAAAAGAAAATTTCTGGGCAGACATTTTCTAATATATTTTGAGACGCTGATTTTGAAAATGCATGATAAACAGGCATTTTGACTTAATGTTAGTTTTAAGTTTTTTCAAGTCATTGTAAAATTCAACTCAATTTAGATAATATGTTCAGCGTTTTTTACATATTTGTTTATATTACGATATGCATGTAGAATCTACATTTAATAGTATCTAATGGCCACAAGCTGTACATGTCAATGACACCTCCCCCTCTTAGTTTACATGGTAATAAACCCATTTTATGTTTCACAAAAATATATTCAAGCATACTATATACTATAAGGCGATACTGTTCAGTAAGCAAAATAAGCATCATGCATAAACCACATGACATAAAACTAATTTGCATACAAAGATTAATTCCTATTGTTACCAATAGAGGGCACTGGACTATAAAAAATATGAGAAAGCTTGAACATACTTCTTGTATGGCGATGAGAATCTTAGAATAAAACATCACAGTGCTACATAATGTTACAAGAAACCAGAAAATAAACATAATGGCAGAAGACTGGACACCTTTTAGTCTTTCCATTTGTATTATTACAAATGCTAGCATCTGTGGAGAGAACAAACAAACATGACCGTTGGTAGTGTTATTTAAATCGGGAGAGTCGTCACCTGCGCATGCATCAGATGGCCATAGTGTGTCAATGTTTACAAACAAGCGTGAGCCTTGGTGTTTCCAGCATGTGTTGTTATTATCGCTTGAGACTCAATTCCCCTGCATGCACAAGTGACGACCCTCTCGCTTTAAGATAATTTAAAGCAAGTACAGTTCAAGGGACAAATAGAGAGAATAAATTT